CTGGCGCTTAGTTAATGTGGGTGCCGATAGTGATCGGGAGCGGCGTGGCGCGGAGCGGCGTACGGCGCCGAGGATCGGCGTGCCGAGGTGTGTGTGGTGGGGCGTGGCGCGCATTACAATGTGGCAAAAACCGCAACATTTGAATTATTTTTAACTTGGTGTTCCTAAAGGCAATCTGCGTACGAGCCGATACGGCAATTTTCAAAATATACAGAGGGGGAGAAGAGCGGGGGAATGCGGACTTTCCGGCAGAGACAGCTTGTGGAGGACTGTCTTAAAACGGTATGTGTTACACGGTATCAGTCATAGTATTTTGAAAGCTATTATTTTTCTGCCGTTAAAAATTAACCTACGTGACCCCTGTATACTTCTGGAAAACAGCCGTCAATCTGAGAGTGCAGGAAGGCTCGCTTTGGTGATTGTCTGCACACACTCTGAGCGCGCGCGTGTGTGTGCGTCTGTGAGTGCGCGCGCGCGTGCGTGTGTGTGTCGACGGCACGGTCCGCGACTGGGCGGGGTGGGGCGTGGAACCCAAGGCCAAGTGTTGGGCGGGGTCGCGACGCAGCCAGCAACCGCAGCACAGTCCAGCGTCGGGTCTACACCGTAAAAGTTTACCATTATTAACAATATTACAAAACCCTTTCGCAGAAAAAGAACATCTATCTCCGCAGCTTGGAAAAATATATGCCATCGCGATTTCGCCGTGCGCAGAGCCTGTGCAGAATGTGCTCCGCCCCCATTCTGTTGCGTGTCGCGGCACTGCACCTCGGTAGTGTAAATGTAGTGGCTAAGTCGCTTGTAGATCTGCGGATTACGTTTACGCGGGGCTGGTCAGCGGCGGGGCTGGCCAGCCGGCCGGCCGGCGGGGCGGGCTGGGCTACACGGTTTAGCTTCTGAGCCGCGGCGCCAGGTGGCGCAACCATCACGTGTCATTGCGTCTGCCCTGTACCGCACTCTCCTGCTGCTCCCTCTCCTTGTTCACCCTCCCTGGTCCGAGGTGTCGTGTACATACACATTTTGTTAGGGTTTCGTTAGTTGTAAAGATGGGGCGCGATTTTTGTCATTAAGAAATTAATTATTGAATCAAGTCTTGAGAGATGACTCATGCAGACAACTTTTGTTTTGTTCATGTTTCAGGTGAGATTGATGAGGAGCAAGCAGCTCGGGGGGGTCAATGATCATTTCGGGACACCACCTCTCCCACGGGCAGCCGCCTGGGCGGGGCGGGGCGGGGTGCGGCGGAGGGAGAAGAAGGGCGGGGCCGCGGCTCAACCCGCACAGCTTTGCACCAGACACTCTGACATGTTACGCATAAGTGCGCCCTCCTCGACACGCTCGCCGGCAGCGCGCGCCCCGCCTCGGCGCCACGCACTGCGCACTGTGTGGCAGGTACAGTGTTGGCAAACTGGCGACGCACGGGTTACATTTGCAAAATGTAGAATTAATACATGTCTTCTGAACAAAATCGTCTCTTATCTTTTTCGTGAGGACCAGAGGGGGAATCACCACGCGGGGCCTTCGCCAGTAGTTCATTGCCGCCCGACTGACTGTCGGCGTCTTGAAGGAATCGCGCCCAGTGCATTTCATCGAAAGACAAAAAAAAAAAATTTAAAAAAAGCTCTACTTTGCAAAATTTGAGTGATATGTATCGTCATAATTAAGAGCGCTCTGCTGGCAAATGTCACGCATGACGGCTCCTAACCGCGTGGTTTAACTTTGCATCGTTTGGGCCCCTCTCGGCTCTGTTGGCACGAGGAGGGAGGAAGGGGGGGTGTATGGCCTGAGCCTCACGGAGCTTATCAAACCCTTTCAATTGGACAAACCGCGCTTGCGACGGGTTATCGCCGCCGATACACCGCCCCGCCCTTCCCCGCCCCGCCCCGCCCTGTGCGGTGGGAGGAGGGCGCCCCCGCTGCGCGCCCCGGTCCCAACTCCCGACAGTCTGAACGTCACTCGGTATGCGGCGGTGGCGGCGGCTGGGCGCGCGCTGGCCGGGCCTGACGAGGCGGGTCTCCTCTGTTCGCAGAGACAGGCAACTTTTGCTGCCAAATTAACATTGGTCGGAATTAGTTACAACACCCCCCTATCCCATCTCGCCACGCGCTCCCAGCCACGCCGCCGTTGTGACAGCGTCCGTCCGTCCGCCCGGCGGGAGCGCGCGGCGAGCTCTGAGGGGCGCATCGCTCTGATTCTCCTCCCCCGTGCAGCCACTGCGGCGGCCAGCGGCGGCGCCGGGCACCCGGTAACAGTGAACCAAACCCGGCCTGGAATTCTTGGCAAGGCCGTTCACTGCGCGGGATGCCTGCCGATAGAGAGCGCCCGCAGCGCCTGCAGCGCCTGCAGCGCCTGCTGCGGCGGCAGCGCGAGCGCAGGTGGCTGCAGCGGATTGTGGCGGACAAGCGGGCGGGCGCGGCGGGCAGGACAGGCGGACCGACAGGCGGATAGTATTCGCGAAACCTCGCGAGCAAGCCGAGCGTTTTCGTCTCTCTTGCAAATCCACGGGGCGTTGTTGTTACTCGGTGCGTGATATACGTCGTACACGTCGCCTGCTGCCCCTCTGCTGTCTGCGTTGCGCTTACTCCACAAGACAGAGCATAAATGGACCGTGGTACAATAGTGTGCGGTGGCCAATTTATGGACGTTATTAAAATAAAGTTTGGCACAACATTGTACCTAGACACCGGGGTACATAAATAATTCACTGCATTGAAAATGATTGCAAATGTACATAAATAATTCACTGCAATATGGCTGGCCACGGTCGCTTAGTCGACATCCAGTGTGAAGTGCGCACTGGCGTAGTCCCCTGCTTCAGGCGCTGGATGCGACAACTCAGTCTCACCCTTCCCTCACCCCGTCCCCCTTCTCCTCTGTACAACAGACCATGCGTACACACATATGCACACGTACATTCGTGTGTACAGACTGCTACCCGCACCGGCGCCGTGCATAAGCGAGGCTCGATCACCGTATTTGGAACTAACTGAGAGACGCGAAAAACAAAGACGCGAAGATAAAAAGTAATGGCTTGGCTTTGCAACTTAGTAAATGCGCGCAATCGGCGTGCCGCGATCGCATGTGGGCCCTCAGGCGAGCCGAGCCGAGCCGAGCGCTGCGAACGAAGTGATCACCGGGCAGGCCGGGGGCAGTCGGCAGTCCCAGCCGCCTTTGCTCTTCGAACGGAGATGCAAGTAATAATGTATCTGGCTCTGTGATCCCTTTTGTGGTGTGGTGTGGTTGCGGGCGGCGGCGGCGGCGGCTCCGGCAGCTCCGGTGCACGTCAGCCAGGCCCAACAGCAGGCACAGACTGCTTGCCTTGTAACAATGCCTCTTCACGAGGACCCGGAAACCACCCGGAGGTGAGGAGGCTCTTCTGCGTGCCAGGCAGGCGAGGCGGACGCGGGCCGCCGTGGTGGTGCAGAGAGGCGCGAGGAGTCACGCCCGCCGTCAGATCCTCCTCGTCGTGCCTCGCATGTGATGGTGAAGGTGTGTGGTGTAGGCTGATCGAGGGGTCACACGAGACAACCCCAGGACGGGCCGCACCCGCATGGTTATAATTGCATGCATAGCTTTTATACACATAATAAAAAGGAGCGGAGTTGCGGAGTATCAAATTAAAAATTTAAACAACTGAGGCATGAGAGAATGTAATTGCCACTTCCCGATTTTTCCTCTAGTCCACTTTTTTCGCTGGCACCCAAATACTCCAAGTAAGGGATTGTCCAGAAAGTACGTCCGTTTTTTGTTTTGTTTTTAAACTTTATTCGGCAAATTAGGGGAGCTCGCCGCCTGCGAGACCCGGGGTAGGCCACCCCGCAGTACACGTATGCACTCCAGGCAAGATGTTGCCTACCCAGCAGGCGCCATAGGAACTAGCACAGGCTTAACAACTTTGCCAAGGTTCGTAACGGCGAATGACGGGCATACTACCCCGGACGATCCATAAGTACCACAAGTCGCAAGCATCTTTGTGACAGGGGCATATCTGTTCAGCATTTGTCGGTGTCACAGGGCGTGAAGGAGGCCAAAAAATGTAAAACACACAAATAAAACGACGTCGCGGTGCCATTTGCTGTCTATGCTTAAAGGGACGTTACAGGCTGAAGTATCACGGAGAATATGAGAGGAGTCTTTGACCAGCCGACCATTCTCTCACCCCTGGCCAGTTGGGCTCCTTTCAGCTTTCAGCTAATTTCAGCTCGGGGTAGGCCGCACCCGCCCAAAGGAAGTGCCATCTGTTTGCCAAACCAACAGGCGTCACCAGAACGAAACCTCTCACTACTTTCTAGCTTTCATTTTTTTCAAACGTTTTTCTCTACACCAGCAATAAACCATGCTTGCTCTTAAAGTGACAAAATTAACTCGTCGACCTTTTGGCCTTTCGTGCAATAAAATTTTGAGCCCCCCACCCCCCAATCCCAATAGTTTCTTTATTTAACTCAACTCTATGCGTTTTTGCACGTCGGCCACAAGTGGGGAGGAGACTGGAGAGGGAGGGTGGGGGAGCGCCGGGAGGGACGGAGTGGATCCTGGGCCCGGTCCGGTACTGGCGGCGGGGTGGGAGCGAGGCGCGGGGCGGGCGCGACGGCCAAGGGCAAGGCCGGCAGGCCAACACTCCGTGCACATCGCAGTCCGACCCGTCGAACCTCTCGATAAATGGCGAATTTGATTTTATTGCGAGTTCTATATCGCGCAAAATCTGTTTGGGAGCCGCCGCTGAAGGGTTAGCAGGATACGTTCTGAGATATGAGAATTATTTCGTAGCGGGTTGAATGTAGGTTATTTGCACATTGTTTTTCTATTGTACGTTCAAAATTAAATTAGAGCGACGAACATTTTCCTTCCATCCACGCGCAGAGTCAAAAGTGCTCGCTCAGTGCACCTGTTTATGGCGACGGGGCGGGGCGGGGCGTGGCCGCGTGGCCCGGGCGGGGGGAGCACTGGCCCGGCCCGCCCGCCCTGGAAGGCGGAACAACACAAACGTATAGGCCCCCGCGCCCCGCGGGGAGGGCGGGGCGGGGCGGGCTGGACCACGGCGCAGCATAAGCGGGGGAGGAGTATAAAAGGATGGGGGCTTGTCCGAAAACGCACATTTCCTAATCAACAGCCGTCTTAGCGAGTACTGGATCCCCCCAGACCAGCAGCGCTAAACATGAAGGCCTTCGTGAGTATCCTCCGCCTGCCCATCGAGTGCCTCATTGTGCCGCCGCCCGAACACAAGGATTACAGTGCTCTTCTTTTCTCTCTCTCTCGCCACACGCAGATTGCTCTGTCTTGCCTCGTCGTCGTGGCTTCTGCCCGACCCGGCGTCCTCGTCAACGGCCCCCTCGGCTGGAACGGAGTCTCCGCCTACAGCGCGGGCACCCCCCTGGCCTCCCAGTACCACGCTCAGGACGAGCTCGGCCAGTACAGCTACGGCTACACCGGCGGCCCTTC